TTAAATGTTGTTATTAATATATCATTATCACGTTCCATATTTTTTATCCATGATTTTCCTTGTAATTGCCTATAGAAATTATTATTCCAAATCAATGAAATATTTAAAAGTGTCTAAAATTATACGAATAACGATATTTTTTTAGCTTTTTTGTCTACAATATCAAGAGCATCTAGCTTATATATAAATAGTGCTTTGGATAGACAATGAAATTCTCTGTCAAATGTATTCTATACTCAAATCTCATAGATGAATTACAAAGGCAAGGTATCTAAAAAAAAATCTAACGAGGGAAGTATTCGAAGTGATTCACCGCTTTTGACCCCATATTTTGGGCGTATAGAGGGAACCTCTAGACTAGAATAATCCTAAAAGGATTCGAGCCCGTAGGCCTTCTCTACAGAGTTATAGCCATTTTATTTGAGTTTTAACCTATGGCACGATATGTACAAACAAATCGACTGGCGGTATTTCCATTTGAAATTTTGCCTATAGAAGGTCTACTTGTAATTAGAATGCTCTGAAAATTTCAGCTCAAAAGAATGTTTTCTCCGCAAGATATTGAATGTCGATAAAACATGAAATTCTCGTATCTTTTATGGCATCCGAGTGATTTTTGAAAAATCAATATCTTGCGGAGGAAACATTTGTTTGAACTGAAATCTTCAGAGCTTTCTAATTACAAGTAGACCTTCTGTGGACAAAATTTCAAATGGAAATACCGCCAGTCGATTTGTTTGTACACACCGTGCCATAGACTAAAACTCAAATAAAATGGCTATAACTCTGTAGAGAAGGCCTATGGACCCGAATCCTTTTAGGATTATTCTAGTCTGGAGGTTCCCTCTATACGCCCAAAATATGAGCTCAAAAGCGGTTAATCACTTCGGGTGCTTCCCTTGTAAGACAATGATCTTCATACCCCAGAAAGCCTTGTGGGACTTAGTTTTTGAAAGTATCATTTGCAAGAGCAAAAAGTTTTGAATAAAATATGTGATTATCGCATTTTCTATAACCTGCGTTTAGGAGTTACAAACATCGCAAAAAACGCTAAAAAAAATGACTAAAAAGAAGTATTTTGTCGCTTTATTGATGCTTATAACTCTTTAAGAGAAGATCGTAGAAAGAATGTTGGTTGCTCATTTTATTCACAATGTTATGATTTGAAAGAGTGTATTGTCAAAACCTAATCTTCGGAGAATTGAAAATTACTGTTTTCGTTTTTTTGCAACCTTGCTCTGGTAGTTCATCACTGTGATGTTGATGTGGAATATATGTAGATGTGTACTATTGCCTATGTCAAAAAAAAGGCGAGTGGATATTTTTTTTGAATAATTTTTGATAGGATCACTATAGAGAGCTGCGATTTTCACTGTCGGAGAGAGGAGATGGAGACGCATCGAACTGTATATTGCAGAATAATTTGACATAGGTTTTTTTAGATTTACTCATTCAGGAGTTATAGGCATTTTCTTCGAAACTCTTAGCTGATTTTTCCATTAATTTCTATGAAAAAAAATCCCTTTTTTTTCGCATTTTTCTTACTTTACAAGAAACTAATTTTCCGGCATTTCTTTCGGGAAATTGATTAGGAAAACTTTAGAAAACATCTTAGAATAGTCTATAATATACCATTCGATCAGTCTTCATCTTCTCTTTCCAACAGTGAGAACTACAGCTCTCTATCTTGCTTCTATCAAAAGTTATTCAAAAAAATACTCATCCGCTTTTTTCTTGAAATGAGCAATAGTTTCAGTTGGACTCTCATTGATACATGTCTAAATATATTTGAAAGAGAATTTTATTGCCTAGTCAAACCATTATTTGCATTTTAGTTAGATGCTTAGTGTTGCAGAAAAAATAAAAAATATCGTTACTACTATATTCAATAGAAAATATATTACGGATCGATTAGGAGTGGATAACGATAGTTCGATGTTGCAATAATACCATTTTGAATTGATAGATCATCATTTGGTAAACCTTGCAAATTCCATTCACCGATCTGTATAGATAAATATATAAAATTTTAGATTATATTCAGTTGGAAAGACACAAGATAAATTTAAAGAATTTTTTCAAGATTGTATAATAAATTCTTTTATTTATTCTAATGTTCAATATCGATGATTAGATACGAACTGATAAGGTTCCTAATAGATCTTGTTAATACGAGTGTTAATGTTAAAGTAAACGGAACTTTTTGTAATTATACCAAAGCAAAACACATAAAACAATTCTTTACAGCGAGTCAAATATTTGTTCGAATTCCATAGTCTTATTTATTATTTAAAAAAAAACAATCCTTACTGTTGCTTCATCATTTAATTGTTCAATAATATCAAAATTATCCGAAAATGGAATAGTTCTTTGTTGTATTTGTTTTTGCCATTCATTTAACATACGTTGTCGAAAATCTTGATTAAATGGACCACAATATGATAGAAAAGCTGTCACAAGAATGGTATTTCCAACTAATCTAATATATAAAATAAATATATATTATTATATTATAAAAATTATGAATAAAATTACTTTTCAATACTCTGTTCAAATGCTTTATTTTGTTCATTCCATCGAATTTTTTCACCTGTTAAACCTGATATTAATGTATTTGCATCATCACGTCGTTTAAGTAAAGCATCATAATCTGATTGATATGTCTAAATAAATTCTTATTAAATTAATATTATTAATTTAGTAATATAATTAAATACTTGTTTTGTTTTCATAGCTACATCAAAATCATGTTGACATTTAGTTAAACCAATTTCAGTTCTTTCAAGTTCACGTTCAGCTCTAGCTAATTTTCTTGAAGCTTTTCGAAGTGAATTTTCTGCTTTTTGTACTTTATCCTATTTTAATATTGATTAATAGTAAGTAATTTTATTATTATTATTATTTATACTTTTATTGGAATAACTTCTTTATTAATTGCATGATAAGATTGAATTTTATCTAGAAATTTCGTATTAAGAAAATATTTCATATAGACAAAAAAAAATCAATTCACCTGTCCATGTTTTTAATGTTGCTAAATCTTGATAAGCTTTTCGAGCTTTTTCCGATAGATCTTTTATTTCTGTATATGGTGCAAGTAATTCAATGATTTCATCATTAAGTTCACGTATTGTTAATAATGTTGATAATAATCCAGAAAAATTAAGTAATCTTAAAATTTCTGTTTTTGATGGTGTATAAAAAGGTTCATCAAGATTATAATCAATTCGTATTGGATCAATACGTCGTTTCATTAATATTAATGCCATATCAAGTACAATCATTATAGCTTCAGGAGGTTTTGCTAATTTACGAAGATTAGTTATTGTATTTCCTTTGATTTGCTATTTGAATATACGAGAATTAAAATTGAATATTTAACGTTTAATTATGGGAGGAGATCTGATCTTTTATAAATGACAAAATTTTATATTCGAAATCAAAGTTCTGCAGAGTAAAGTGAAGATGAGGGTCGTATAAAAAATGTTTAAGTTAGAATCAGGATGTTGTTCATATTGTTAAGATTCTTTTGGCAAGCAACTTCAAACATACTTCTGATATCTTTCTGGTTTAGAAGAAGTCGGTCTTTATGTTAAAATGAAATGTAAAGAAGAATCAGTATTGGACTAGTGAGACAAATGGTTATTAAATTATCCATAACTTAGTGTATTTGAAAAATGTTATGGGAAGTTAAGCTATATTTTCAGTGTAAGCGGGAGAATTTTGAAAGAGAGAGAGAATACTGTAGTGAACGGCAATATTGTTAATGACATTTTATTCTTATGAAACTTTTATAATTTTGTATTTGATTATGATTGAAAACCAATAACATATGTTGAAACATAATGAAGTAAACTTCATGTTGACATCTGCCGAAATCTGAAAATCTTAGGATAAGAATGCGAAACTTTTTGGATAGGATATGAGGTACGAAAAAGTCTTACCCTGCAGGACTCTATTTGGAATGTCATGTTTTTCGCTTGTTCTTCTCCGTTTATACTTTCTTGATCATGTAACCTCACAATTCCATTTGAATAAAATGTATTGCATTTATGTATCATAGTCTGTCTACTAAATATTCATCCATTGTTTCATTTTGTGTATACAGTTACATATCATCAGTTCAATTGAACATAATGAACTTATATATTTTCGTATGTCTTTTTTTGTTTTGCTAGATTATTTATTGATAGAGAAAGGACTACTTTAAGATTTAAGAAAAGGTATCATAATTTTGAATGAAACTTAGAAAATATCAATTATTCTCTTCTGTAAAAAAATGACAATTGCGCTAAAGACTGGATTCGAACGAAACTTTCACTATGTGTTGCAATTTAATATGACGTGTGTTGTGTTGAAAAGTATGACACATTTTATTTTAATGTGCAGGATATCGCAAAGTCCATTCTCTTTTTGGTTAATTAAGATTTGTTACTATTATACAGAACAATACTTTTATAATCAGATCACCACTTTTTGAAGTGTTTTTCGCAGCATTGAACTTTTCATCTCTTTTATTTGCTTAAAAAACTCTGATATGCTCTTTCAAATAAAAAAAGAAATTAAGTATATAGAATAAATGCTTGGAGAGAATTTTAAACTCCTAAAAGAGCTACTTTTGACCTGTGTTTGTTGAATATCTCTTGAAAACATCATGGTATAGGACTGAAAATTTTATCATAGTCTTTTTACTACAGTCCCAACATATTCTGAAAATTTCATATGATTTGAGTTTTCCTGATTCAAAATCAGTTTTTTTTTAAGGCGAAAAGAATTGGTTTTAAATAGTTATTTAGACTTTTAAAATATAATTCTATATAATCTTTTCTTAACAATTGTTGACTGATGAAATCACACGACAAGGATTTTTATCTTTTTTTTTTGTGTTTTATCTCCATATCGTTATACTTATATAAAGCATCAACGAATATATACGTAGATACATCATATTTTTGCAATTGCGCTTTTTGTTTTCTTGTTTTTTTTTATTAAAAGAAAAAATGTTTAAACTTTTCGCTGTTTTTCTTGGTGCTATGTTATTAGCTGTAAGCTATGGTGGAATTCCTGGTGGTTATACTGATCGTCCAGAATTAATCGAAGATCCATTTGTCAAAAGTTTAACTAGTTTTGCTGCTGAATATTATGCTAAGAAAGAAAATATTTTTCTTAGCCGTCTTAAGGTTACTCATGTTCAAACGCAAATTGTTGCTGGTGTTAATTATAAATTAGACTTTACTGGTGAAATTGTTAGTGATATTAGCGGTAAATTAGCAACATGTAACGCTGTTATCTATGTACGATTTGATCAAACTCAAAGCGTTACTAATATTGAATGCCATTAAAAATAAACTTTTACTTTTTTTGTTTTTCTTAATATTTATATTTCTTTTCTTTTCTTTTTGAAATAAAAAATCAAGCATAATTTTTTCTTACTTTAACAGCTTCTTCAGCTTCTTTTAAAATAATTTCAGCGGCTGATAATTCTTCTTCAGCAATTGCTTTTTCTTCATTAACTTGTTTAACAAGTATTTCAGCTGTTTCTTTTGATTCTTGAACTTCTTTTGTTTTGATTTCAGCTGCACTACGTAATACTTCCATTTCGGCTACTTGCTGTAGAAATATGATAAAACAAAAAAAAAGAACATCGTAGAAAATATGTCAATATGAAAATTATTAGAGACTTTGACCTTAGTAGAAAATATCAAAGTTATCAAAAACAAAAGATATGTCGACTGTAAACTAACATCTTATATGTAATAGCAAAATATATTGAAATAAGTGTATGTCAAGTATATTATAAATACCTATCCCGGCATAGGGAAGACATCCTTGAAGAAACGATGTGCTAGACGTAACCGAAAACTCTCGTCTTGAGTAATTGATTTTTCGAAAAATTGGAGCTTTAATTTGTATATTTATCGCATGTGACAAAAGTTTTGCGACATTTTTTTGTCTTTTCCATGTAACTCTGTTCAGACAGATATATCTTTAAAATAATATTTGATAAAATGGATGATTCTAAACACTGTACAAAACCAAAACGTTCATCACTCCATTAATACTTCCTAGGAGATCAGTACTGATTTAACCTCAATTTGTTTTCAATTGAAGCGAAGTTTCTCATTGTGTTTCTCTTGTAGTATTTCTTTCAACAGTCGAAGAAGTTTAGCGATTTATGCATCGAGCTCACTGTATTTGAGAGCAACATAGCAAAAACAAAACCCGGTTTTTTTCAGGACGAAGCATTCAGATCAATTGACACAGACGTTAGTTTTTACTTGTATTTGAGATGAGAATGAATAATAATTCTCATGCTTTGAAAATCACACTAGTTTTCTGAATGATTCACAAGTTCAATAATTTTTGCCTTTTGTCTTATTTCTTCTCTTAGGAAATAACACGATAATACATGTGTTCAATATTAGTAGTTTATTAAAATTTTCAAGGAAGATTTGGAAGATTTAATCTTATGAAATGAGTAGAATATTCAATGATGCATCCTTTGAAAAAAAGACCAACGAATATAGTTGCATCCAAAAGAAAAAATATCGCAAAACTTTTGTCACACTCGATACATCAAAATTAATGACCGAATTTTTCATTACATAAACAAATTGGTGGTGCAATATACTTATACTTCATTCAATAGTTTTGTAGAAAGCAACAAGGAAAACTAAAAATAAATAATAAGAAAATACTTTAGTATCTAAAACTCCGTTAAATCATGTAGACAGTAGAAAAATTCTTAAACATTTATGATTTCATTGAAAAGTTTTGTTTCATTGATGATAAATCACAAAGAATTTTTTTTTATACTTTTGCTGCTTCCATATTAGCAATAGCCATAGATTTTTCTTTTGAAATTAATTCTTGTGTAATTTCTTGAACTTGTTCAGCTGCTTCAAATAATTTTTGAACACCAGTTTTCATTTTTTGTTTTTCTTTTTCAAAATATTCACGTTGTTTTTGATAATATAATTTAAATGCATTTATAAATCTGAATAGTAGCAATCAAAAACAAAAACAAAAACAATCAATAATAAATTTCAATAATTTTTTATTCTTTTTGTTTTTTTTACGATAGAAATGATTTCGGTGTTACATATGTTCGTCGTCGAAATTTTTCATAATAATTTTCACATATTCGACTAACATCATCATGAATATCGGCCATTAATTCAATAATATTCTTTTTTATTGTATTTGATGTAACAAGAATATCAAAACGATTTAAATAAACATTTGATACAGCAATAAGAGCATCAAGTGGCCAACGATGAAACCTAAATTTAATAAAAGAATTTTATTTTTTGTTTTTTTTTATTTCTTCTATATAACAAACCAATCAATAGTACAACCAGAAACTAAAGCTGGAAATTTTAATGCACGTTCACGAAATTTTCGATTATCAGGAGAAAAACATAAAACAATATGAAGATTTTTACGAAGTCTTTCATAATAATAATTTTGTAAATTTTCATTTGTTAATATTCGTTTTGGATATTCTTTTTTCATTTTAACTGATAATTCTGATAAAGTTTCATCCATTTCTTCACGTGTTATTAAACCAGATACCTTACAAAAAAAATATATACGTATTAAATAATAATCGAATTATATTTTAATAGAAATAAAATTACTTCTCCAGAACTAAGAACATTATTTAAATATTCAAGAAATTGATCATCTTTTATATCATTATCAGTAATTATAAATACAATGCCTTGACCAAGACGAGTTGCACGTCGATATATATTTCGTAAATCATCCAAAAAATTATTTAATGTATATGTTCTTTAATAGATATTATTAAAAAAAATTAATATTAAATACTTTTTTTATTTCGATTACCTTGAGACACTTATTTGAAAATATTTATAACCTAAAACACAAAAAAAAGAAACATTATTCTGAATATAAAATCTGAATAAATACATTCATTAACCTGCAATATAAGCTGCTAATTTAGTTAAAGATTGTTTTCCACTACCACCAACACCAATCTAGGAGAACAAAAAAAACGATATTTTCTTATCATTCAAAAACAAAAACAAAATAAATCTAACCAATAATAAATGTCCTTTTGGCATATTAATTACACGTGAAATCTAAAAAAAAAAAAAAAAGAAAATTATAAAATTTATTTTATTAAAAGAAATTCTCAAGAATTCATACACGTAATAAATGAATCATAGCATCTTTAAAAAAGACTAAATCCATATTACTACCACGAATTTCTTCATTCATTTTTGTCATATTAGTCATTAATTTTGTTTGTAAAATATCCCATGATGATATTGGTTCATAAACTTTTGGTAATAAATCAGCAAGATCAATATCATCATCCATTTCATCAGTTACTTCGAGTTCTTCACGAAGAAAACTAACGAGAAAAAAATATTAAATTAATTATTACAAAAAAAGAGAGTCGCGATACTTTTCTGACTTGCCATTAAATATTCATGTGTTTTTCACATGTCTTTATTGTATCACAGTTAGGAGGCTCCAATCTGCTGTGATTCTGAGGTATAGTGATGTGTTTTCATTGTATGAGACGGTCTTCACATAGTAGGGAGCTGCGAGTCCTTCTAGATCTGAACTCGGCCGAGTTCGAGTCCAAAGTTTTATTTTTCTTTTGAGCCTGTTTACACGTTTTTGTGGATCTGCTGCTCCTCAAATGAGAAATACAGCAGCAAGATATAACTGTACGTTGAGTTTTTTTCTGCAAATAGCGAATAAATAGCTGAAACCTTGATCTTACACTTGTTCATGTACACGAAGGATGACACGCATTGATGGAGAAAACCTCGAGTTCGGGTCTCGGCCCATAAAAACACGGATCCATAGCTTCCTATTATTGTCCATTTCAAAATACAATGTACTCCATTGTTCTTTGAATCAATTGATAACACCAACAGCTAGAGGCCTGTGGTTTTCACCAACCGATAGAGGATACAGGTGCACATCTTTTCCTCTAATATTGTGGGGAAATTTTGCTTTTGACATATGATCTAGATAGAGGCACTTCAGATTTATACTTCAAGATATAATTGGAATGATTATCTTCCCATATCATAATGTTATGTCAAAATTTCATCTGAATGACAGACCGTTTTTACACTTTTTTTCGATGTTTGGTAGAAATGACTGATTTTAAAATGATTTCGTCTTATACAATATTGGAGAAAATGACGTGCTCTTATCTCCTCTCTCGATTGATGGAAACCGCAGGTCTCTAGCTGCTTGTGTTATCGAGCTATTCAAAAAACAGTGGAGCACATTATATTTTGAAATGGATAATAGTAGGTATAGAAATTCATAGTAACCTAACAATATGGCATTAAATAAAATACATTATCTGATAAACATAAAATTTGTATTAAAAAAAAAATTTCAATTACTTAGCAAAATAAACTTCTGAATCTTCTTGTATGGAAATATTATAAATATCACCAAAAGTTTGTTTACCAATTCTATATTGTTCTTTTCTAAACCATTCTTTTTCTGTATTTAAAATTAATCGATCAGCTAATACTCTTGTACATTCATGTTTCCATAATTGAATATATTGTTCAATATTATTTTGACATTGTTCAGAATCAATTTGTAATATACCTTCCCATATACGTGATAAATCTCTTAAATTAAATATATAATGAAATTTTGCTGGTGTTGGTAAAAATTTTCCTTTAACTGATTGCCATAGAGTACGTGTTGCTGAAATTGATTTTTGAACAACTTGAATAAAATCATTTGAAAAATTTCTTTCCAAACAAAAATATTTTCCTATTGAACTAAATATATGATCAATTGTATTATTTGATGGTAATGTACAATTTAATATAAAAAAATGTCGTTTTAATCGTTCAGATATATCATTACGACCACCACCAGGATGACACATAGCAGCAAGAAATTGTAAATCAATTATATTAAGAAAATCACCTGGTTTAGTTAATGAATAAAAACCTTTTTGTTCGATAAGTTGTCGAAGAATTTCATTTGCTTCTTGATCACCCCAAGAATTTATCATTGGCATATTAATATCATCAATAAATATTGTCATTTTACGTCCATATGATGGACCAAATGTATTTGCTACACGTTTATCAACAAAATTTTCTATTGTTTTTTGTATAAAACTACTTGTTGTTATTGATGAAAAATTTATTATACGTGTTAAATGTTGTTCACTATCATAATGTTTTAAATAACTTGTAATTATAACAGTTTTAGCTGTACCAGGTTCACCAATTAATAATACAGGTTTCTCTTGTTTAGATAATATATTAATAAGATATGTTATACGAACATTATCAATATTAGGAACAAGAATTGATGC